AAAATGTTTAGTATGAAGTTCAAAGGCAACTGCGAATATTTTAGTCCTATTAAACTTGTGAGTCTATGGAAACTGGTGCTGTCATGCAACGTATCAACAAATCATGGTTTATAGAGGGGATCTCACCTCAACTTGCTAAACATAAATACACAGGAAAATATCTGTCCATAAAACTTCTTTTGTTGATATAAAAATGCTGATTTTAGCAATAGACCAGAGTTGAAAGTAATGAAACAATTCAAGTATAAATTTTCTTCCGACAGTTGCAGACTGCACAGTGCCACATTGTTTACTAGAATTTTATTTTCCACAGAAATTGTTGGGATTTTCAGCTGATTGAAGTAATTTGTGACATAATTTAAATATGTAATTGCAGACAGTTCTGTCTGAGAACTGGAACTTTGTATAACTGTTCCTCATTCACCCAAGAATTTCGTGCACGGCATACAAACGGAACAGAAAGTGAATGTTTACCCACCTCATAATAAATGGCTTGTCAAAAATAAATACAGAGGTGGGTGTCTCAAACACTAAGACCTAAGGCCTAAGACTCCCTCCTAATCTCAAAAACAAGTTGAAATTCTCCAAAAAACGACAGCCGATAAAAGTAATCACAGTATAATGGCCGCCACACAACAACACTCAACCTCACAATCATTACTTGGGTCCTCTCTCTTCCTAGTGGAACCCAGTCTTGTCACCTGGCTACATGCTAAGTTGAAACCATGTGACAAACACTTTGCTCTCGTACATAAATAAAGAAATAAAGAAATAAATTTTGCTGGTGCTGACAAAGTGTGGGAAATTCCGTATAAAAATATGTTACACAATTCACCAATTTCTACACCTTAATCTTTCCAGTGATCACTTTCTCACTTTTAGCAATTCAACTCCCACATACTTACATTTAAAAACAAAAATCTCTAACCGAATGGAATAATACTCTGCATAAGCCCACAAGTACGCATTACGGACCTACTTTTATAGATAGAAGCTAGTTAATATATAAGTAGCTCATTTCCTGAAGGTGTCCACTCATATGTGCAGGTTTGACCGTACTCTATTGCCTAAAAAGAAGATGTTGAAAATCACAGAATTGATGATTGTACGAATTTGCAAGCGATTCAAGCCATGATTAAATGTTTTGGACTATCAACAGACAAGAGAATTGAGGAGAATTTGAACGATGTGTTTCGCTATGATTTATACAGTATTATATAATAATTAAATGAATGCGTGCGCTCTGATTGGTCAATCAGCTATGGTTTATTGTGCCAGTAAACTCATGGAAATTGCGCGTGTCTTCTGAATTATTATATAAAAGCAATAGACCACAAGTTTCTATGGTTTAGAGGCATGATAAACCACTTGGGATGTTGGAAGAACACCTGAAGAATTCGTAAATCACTTGCCTGCGGCTCATGATTTACGGATTCTTCTCATGTTCTTCCAACATCCCGCGTGGTTGATCCGCCTATAAACCATAAAAACTTGTGGTCTATTGCTTAATTGTAAATAGATACACATAAATATGGACATGGCAAAATAATATGAACAAATAGTTGATAAATGGAAGAAAAGACATTACACAAGGCTGGGAGTTCTACAGTCACTAATATCAACTTGGAAAGGGAAGAAAAAAAAGAAAAGAAAAGAAAAAAAGAGGTTATTACAACACAGGTATTCTAGTTTGGTCACCCAGCCAAGTAGGAGCCCTGCCGAACAGGTCTTAACTTTGTTGAGCAGACAAGACATGGTGCTGTCCTTGTGGTATAGTGACTCTACATTGGATACATTTCTTTTTAATTTCTAAGATATCTTAAAAGGTAACAAAGAAAGGAAAAAAATCACTGATGTTGGCTGGGAAAAACAATAAAGAAAGAAAAAATAGGAATGAAAATGAGAATTATTGCTTGCTTTGGTGATTGGACAAGAAGCAATACTTTCTTCATAATAATTGTCTCGGACGAGGATCACTGATAACTTCATGAATGTTTTTGACGGCATCACATCTCACAATGAAGTTGACAACATGTTGTACATATCGTGTTATATTTAGCTTAAACACAGCTGGTGGTTTTTCTAGCATTATTTGTGCAGTCAGTTGAGATTCGTACTCTGTAGAGGCTCTGTATATTATTCTAATTTGATACTTGTACAAAATTATTCCCATTTTGGACTTGCCATAACAAGTTTCTCACATATTTTCTTTGTTATCTGTGTAGTTAATTGTTTGATTAAGTTAGCAAACTCAATTCGCCGCCATTCGTCTTGAGGTATACGTAGCTTTGGACAGCGAGGAGCGCTGAATGGAGTGGTAACCAAGATTTCATTCAGTTATATATGTAGAATCTGTAGAATGAACTCACAACAATTCAACACATGTCTTTAATCAACATGGCGATCTGTGAAAGCACAAGGTCCCAGCATGCATTGCAAGCAAAGAACATGCATAACAAATACATGTATGGGCATAACCGTACAATATATAGTATGACTGAACAATGTGTTTCATGTATGAAGCATGTGACAATTAAAAATTCTGAGGCATGAATGAATTTGCTGTCATTAACAAACTACAAAGACAAAGGTTATGACTTTATTGATGTATTTCTTTCCTGAATGAAATAATAAACAGTATTTGGCAAACAGGTGTTTTGAAAAACATGTTGCATGATGGCTTTACTTTCCCGCCATAACTGCTTGTGTTAAATAATTCGATACCTTGCTTTGACTATGCATAAATAAAATTTTGACTTGGTTATTTGAAAGAACTTAAATTTTCGGTACTTTCTTATATTCTTGTATCAAAACTTCTTTGAATGAAGAAAAAGTCAGCTGTTATACCATCTAGGAGTTAAGCATTTCTAGGTCAGTTTTTAGTTCAAATATTTTAACATGACATGAAGAGACGCATCTCCATTTACATCTGGAATTTTCCACAGTCATTTTCAGGAAAATTAAATCTCAGAGCCTTAGTCTTTCATTACCCAGCTGCTTTGATTCTGACCAAGTAAATATCCCCATAAATAATATACAATAAAAAAGGGAATGTAGTGTTTCCAAATCAAGGTTTACTATTGTTTGCTTTAGTCTAACGTGAAAAATATGCCACCTTGTATCTTTGTGTACTATGTAACCATAAATAACTGTGGCTAACTTTTGTTACAGAGCCTACATGTAAGAGATTAAAATAGATGATTAAATCTTGTTATTTATGGATATGGAAAATCTAAGGGGTAAGGGGACCCAAGAAGAAAAATAATGGAAATTCCAGGAGCTGGGTAGCACCATGAACCCCCCCAGGAATGGAAAATCTTGGGGGTGGAGGTTCAAACTGGAAAAAACCCTCAGTTAAGGGTATGCATATTTTCTGGAACCACATAATTTATTTGAACTAGTTTGGGCTTTACTAATTTGGGCTTTTACTGAAATAGAAAAGAAATGAATATTAATTTTGTCAGAAAATACTAAAAGTTGAAATACTAAAAATTTTACACTGTACATAGAAGTTGTTAAAGACCACAATATTATTATGTATCATAGATGTTTTATATAGCTCCTAATCTTTGAACTGCTTGTTTGTCCCCTTAGTTTTGTTTCCCTGTTGTTGTATAATAGAATTATTGTGAACATAATTAATAGAAGGAAATTGTTAAGAAGACTGGTAAACATCAAAGACGCAAACTTATGTCGGAAGGTCCTCGACTCTGTACATATTTTGTTTTATGTTCATTTACTATTAGCCTGAAACTAGTCCTCAGCCTAACCCTCGAGCAAGAGACGCCTTAATGCCGAGTGTTATAATTCTGTCTGGGGAAGTCAGGTCCTAATTTATGACAATTTTTCATAAATGTATATTGTCAGGCAGACATCTTCCAATTTTATGTTAATGTGTGCTATCAGCGCAGCAACTCGGTGCGATTCGATGTAGGATGTCCTCCGTTAAGATATGGTGTTGCACTCGATTCCTAAAACAAGCTGAAATTGAGAAATTGTTGTAAAATTATTTCAGTTTGAACTTCAATCCATGCACTGCTGGAAAGCAGATGAAACAGAGTTTATTCTCAACAGTCCTAGTACGTGGCATGAAATTTTCTTTTTGTTTGTCCCACAATGCAGTGCAGAATCGTTCCTTGTTCCATTTTAAATAGAAATGTTACTTTTTTGGGCTGTCAAAGGACATATTGCACAAAGAAAGTCAAGAAATCCATTCAGGAAAATTAGGTAAAGAACACACTGAATTCTGATTATGGAAAGTAATTACAACTCAACTACTACAAATAATGAAACCATGTAACAGTATTTTTTTAATTATCTTGACTAGCTAAAAAACAAATCATCCTGCTTGGATACGTTTACATGTATATAACATTTTCCCTTAACTTACAATGTTAACCTAAGGAATCAGGTCAGGAAAAGCGGACAAAAATTATTTACGAGCATTTATGGAAGTGCAGTCAAATGTAATACTAATAGATTTATATTTAACTCATGCTGCATTACACCTTTGACAGCAACAGTCACAAGTAATCCGACAACCCTGATCTGATTTAAACCAATAAAATATCTATCCTGTACAAACTGAAAACCGATCAGGAAAAATTACTGTAGGTATCAGAAGCGGTAAGTGATATCGCTGGATGCAATTATAATGTTCAGCATTCAGGCATTAGGCTGAGGGCGGGAGCTAAGTAACATTTCAGGCTAACTGACTATGCATGAAATACATAATTGCAATACTTGCTTAGTTGTATGAGCACAGATAACCACGTTTTGTATTTTGCCAGGTTTTGTGCAGGATCAACCCCCCAAATAGGCAACAAAAACATACAACAAAGAACTTCTCTATTAACTATGTTGTGAACTGTTCAGCTATTCACGCCCAACAATATAGGATTGTTATATAATATAACTTTACAATATACAATATAATGCTAATTTAGCAAAATTAACCTGAGAATTATTGCAGTAAGTTAACATTTTGTTACTCTGTTTAGGTGCAGTCACTTGATTTAAGTAACAATAGACTTAAAAGCTTGGATGGCTTTAAGGATCTTGCAAAACAAACATCAAACCTTAAGCACCTTAAGATTTCTAATAACCAGGTAAGTACAATGTACAATAATTGACCAAGACAAACTGACTGACTTGACTGACTTTATTTCATTATTAGTGCAGAGTGTGCTATTGGGATGGTTTGGGGGGCTGCTGGTTGCTAAGGCACTAAGTACTAACACAATAAGGTGTAAACTTTAATATTTGTTTGATTAATTAATTTTAATTAATCAATTAGCCTTGCAGGAAGGTAGGCTGGGTGGGGTAGGTGCATATGTGAACTACGCAAAACGTGTCATACTTACGTTGCTTTCTTTGATAACATGACAAATGTATATATTTATTATCTGGAGAAGAGTGTTTTACTGGGAACTAAACCACTCGTAGATTCCATACGCCACTTCATCCGGGACCCGAGTGGTGTATTTTCCGTATGTGACCTTTGTGAGTGTCGTATCGTTCAATGACGGCACGATTCCCGCCTTTTGCTTTTGTTGAATTGGTTTCTCCATATAATAAAAAGAACATTACACATTTGCTCGAAGATATGGATTTTATTTTCTCGTGGCAAGAACAATATCTGACTCGAACATAAAATTCATATCTTCTCGCCACCGTGTAATATCCTCTCTCTCTATATATAGATAGATAGATAATAAACAATGGTAGCAAGACTTCAATTCATCGTTTTATTGTGACGACGCTGTTTTGTATGGTCAAAGGATGACCACACTCATTAGGCAATATCAACGAATGACCATTAAATTTCACAAACTGGCAATTATTGATGGGTTTATTAAGACAGATGTCTATTCCAAACCTACAGACAGCCACTTATATCTTCCGCCTTCTAGCTGCCATCCTAAACATGTTTTCAAGGCTATTCCTTTTGGAGTAGCCACAAGATTAAAAAGAAATTGCTTGGAGGAAATTTTTCTCGCCGAGAGAACAGCTGAGTACAAAAGGNAGATATTGTTCTTGCCACGAGAACATAAAATTCATATCTTCTCGCCACCGTGTAATATCCTCTATATATATAGGGAGTATTTCCCGGAGTAAATATCAAAGCAGTACGTAGAATGTGGTTGTCCACGATTAGGTTGAATCTTTAAATTAAAAATATCTAGTTAGGTCTATTAATAACAATATTTTAATATATATCGTTTGTTTACAAGATGTAATTCTTGTTTAAAAAGATAGTGGATGGTTCTGGTTTAGAGAGCAAAGTGTTTTATTAAACTGACATGTTATTATTCATCCATGGACACAATAAACAAGTGATATAGTTTGTAGCAGTATTATAGTGTGGTGGGCTTGACCACTGGTTTCAATTCAAGGACATCTGCTCTCCTTTAATTTCTTAGTAGATTTCCGGACGGCGCTGTTTCCTACAAAACCAAAGTAACCATATAAGCCTACACAGCAAATTCAAGCGAGGCAACGAATCAAGGAAAAGTAGAAGCAGTCGACGCAAAGCGCGGAAAAACGCATGCAACCAGTCTCAGGTTTTGCATCTGATTGGTTGCGTGGGTGGCGCGAGTTTTTTTAAAGCAAGCATATTACTTTTATTGCCTGTCGTAAAACCTAAATCAAAGTTATCACTAGATCTTGCCAATCACAAACCACACAGCAAATCCAGAGAACCAATCAAAACTAATGCGGCCTATAAAAAGCGTGGGAAACGAATCTGTCCTTTTGAGAGCTCGGAAAACTGCAGAAATACAAGTCCGACAATCGATCGCGCTTTCAAGTGCTCTGGGGTACCGTGGAAGCTAATGAGATGACAAACAAAATAGCAAATGAAAATATTTAATCAACAAAATGTATCAAAATTGTTTCAATGAAGTAAGCAAATAAGCTTACTAGTCCCGGTTACTGAACAAACCCTGTTAGTTTGGAAAAGCGGATTGAATAATGAATGTTCGGCTAAATCTGGGTGTAATAAGTACCAGGTGCAATTTTGTAGAAAAACAAAATTACGTCAAATAAGATAAAGGCAATGTGACAAGATTGTTCCTAGCATGGATGCAATATGAAAAGGAAACATCCCAATAACTGAAAGTTAATTTTAAAAAAATAATGACGTTTATGGGAAGTGGCCAAAAATTCTCCCAGAGATTTCTTTTCTTAAGGCAATCAACCCAAACAAAAATAGAAAAAATTCTCCAATTTACTGAACGATACAGATATTTCCTTGTTAGTGTACAAACAGCAGCGAAAGAAAGACAGTACAAAGCGTACTAACAGTTTTGGCTGTTTGCCGTAATCGCATAATTTTATTATACATAGCTAACGCTCGCTCGAGCTATGATGCACTATATTTATAATATTAATGGTGATATCTTTATAGTAGACGTATGTACTATGCCGAAGAAATTTGAAAACGCATCTTTATTTCAACGGTTAGGCCTACCGTCCACACTAATCCGTCACGAAAACGGAACTTTTCGAAAACGCTCTTCAAACCCGAGGCGTTTGCGTTTTCGTGTGGAAGGAAAACATTCAAGACAGAGCTTTTCGAAAACGATAATCAGGTGATTTTCCTACCCGAGTTTTCCTCCAACAAATCCAAAATGAATGGTGATTGTTGCGTTTTCAAATCCCTCTAAAACCTTCAACTTTAATCTACTACGAGCGAGGACCCTGGCCAGAAAGAAAGTTCCTTATCGGACAGTGTTTGAGATCAGTTCTTGATAACGTCACATGACATAATCTAGGGTAAAAATGAACAACCGCCGTTAGCGCTTGGGTTTTCCCCCGTAGGAAAAATATCCGTCAGGTTTTGTTAACAAAGCACAAGGTTGCCACCAGGCTTGCTTTCTCAGAAATGTGAAAAACATATACACGGATGGGATAAATCGTGGGCATAACTAAAGAAAAATCACCTTGAAATCTAGTTTTCGAAAACAGGTAAAAATAAACTAGGGACCAAGGCCTTATTTATCGAAAGTCAGATCTGTCGATTCCTGCGAGTGATATTAAAGTGTCCTTTACGTCTAGCTCAGATAGGTCAGATAGGGATCAATACAAGATGTAAATCACTTATGTCCGTCCTTAAAAGCAATGGTTGATCTGTGGCGACGAACAATCGTTCCTTCGAAAAACCATGAGAAATGTTCACTAACACTCTGACACTCTAGACGACAAAATTCATAATTCATAAATTTGTTTTTTCTCGTAAAAGAAAAAAAAAGTAACTATCAGATAGTAATCTCGTAGAGCGTATTTAAAGACGCGCTTTATTACTGGCATGTTTTTTTTTGTTGTTGTTGAGATCAAACTACGAAAATAGGAGTTTATATTTAAAAAAATAACAGATCTGAAATGTGAAGAAATGCAAGTTTGCCCAAAGCCTAGTGGCCAATCATGTAGACGAAGGTAAATATTGTTGTAATTTTTTGGTTCAGTGCTAATAAGCTCTTAGTAACACCAGCTGAATTTGGCTTGAGGCAGCTGACTTATCACGATCAAAAGCTGGCAATGTTGTTATTTTTTTACCGACATTCGACGTATATTTTTAGCACGCGATATTACATTAAGTCTTCGAAATAAATCCTTGTATATGGGCCACTATGTAATTTTTAGTTTAAAAGCTAATCCAAGTTTTATGCTGTACAAATATGGGATAAGTAGGTGTTATACGGCAATCGAGTTAATTCGAAATCGCTAAGGCAACGAATCCCTCCTTTGTTCTCGGGGTTGGCTGAGAACTAAAAATAGATCTTGCGTGTTAATTTATGCTTCCTTTAGTCTTGGGAAATGAATAATGAAGAAAACGTGGCTGAATTCAGAAACGCAGTCAAAATGAATAAATAAACGCCTGCTTTGTGTTTTGCGTTTCGCTTGAAGCCACAAAGTTTTAATTTGTTTCTTATCGGAAAGCGAAAATCTTTATCTCGGACACTTGCGAGGCTTGGGAGGCGGTTGCGGTTTAGCAATAAATTGCGGCGAAAGTTTCAAATTTACTTTGGAGGCGGAGTTGTTCTATTTTTACCTGACCTTTTCATGAAAAGCAAACAATATACCGAAAGCCGTGTCTAGCCCATTTGAATATCTAAATTTAGCTTGACAACAAAAGCAACGGGGCACAAAGCGAGCTGTTCTTAAGACCGAGGGAGTTTGTCTTCAGTGATTCAAGCTGTAAGCACGAGTTTGCCTGTTGGAGAAGTGCGGACACGGAGCTTGAGATAACTGGCTTTAACTATAAAATCCGGAGAGAAGTATCCATCGATACATAAGACTTCACTTCCACAACACGTCTAAAAGGATTATCTTATATCTGCCCGAACGAGGTTCGCAATAATATATTCCTTCGCGAGGAAATGGTCTGCAGTCATTCAGAAATGAATGAGTCTTCACTTCAATGTGGTCGCTCAAGGAGCAACTCTGAGCCCGTGCCGAGACAGAGAAGAAGCTCTATCGTTTTAACTCCTGCTGTCCTAAATGAATACGCTCGAGGTAACGAGGACGCCGCGATGTTCAAAAGACAATATGAACGGGCTTATTATAACGTGTATGGATCGCATCTTCCACAAAACAACGGTGCGGCGACGGACATGACAATTCCTTGGAGCGATCAAACTGTGTATTCAAGATATAGCTCCGATCCGCGCCTAAATGCAATGGGCTTCTTCGACGTTCGGAGAAAATCTTTCTCTCGTTGTTCTTGAATATATTTTCATAGTGTTTGTAGCAGCTGCAGTGAACCCAACCCAGAAAATTCACAAGGAAAGCTTTGGAGCGTCATCTGCGAGTCTCGCGGACGGCTTGTGGGGAAACTCTTCCGCCATGGAACTGAGAGTGGCCCGAACTCTTCTTTTCGTGCAGTGTTTCAGTTTGAAATTTTAAAATTATTTTAAAATGGACAGAGGATTCAAGACTAGAAACGCTTCGCAATGTTTAGATTGTGGACGTTATCGCCAGATGAAAACATTGGGTTTTTAGTGTGCTGTGGCTCATTTTTGAGTCTGTGAAATTCCTGTTTAAAATATCCTAACGATGTTTTCTATTTTCAGTGAATGACAACCTTTTAGTTCTAGTCATTTCGCGT